GGAAACATTCTTTACAAATACAAAGCAAAATAATTGGTTCGCGGCGATTAATATTCGCGAGTTAAATAAGGTTGCAAAACTCGCGTATATTTCTCGCACGCGAATAAAAGTTGGTTTACAGTATAAACACTGGGGCACACGTTTCAAAATTCGAATAAAGGCGATTCCCTTTATATAAATGCATTAATAAGCATGTGTCCCATATATAAGCTGTATCATTGAGCTAAATTGTTAAACTTCTCAGGGAAAAAAAATATTGTTGGATTTCATAGTTATAGGAGGATTAAAAATCTAAAATAAATAAATTAAAAAAAATAGTGCAGTCGCTGTTACCTTTTTTTAAAAATACATTTGATTTTTTTTCCTTTTTTGTGATTGTGTGCTTGAAGTAACCTTGTAAATCTTTAACAATTTTTACATGTCCTTCAAAACAATCCTTCCTTCTCGACTTTACTAAAATGAACTTCCGTAAAAAGTCAGTTCTTCTGGAGGAAAGGAAATGAAATCACAACTTGGGTCGAAACATCGGATGTGTGATTACAGCCTTTTATCATCTTTGCTAGGCAAGACTTATGATCTGCTCCAACAACGTATCTATACCCTTGGCTGGCGAAGATGAAATGATTTCTACTTCTTACTTTTGCGTAAGAATTTAAAACAATTATTTATTATGGAGAGAGCCTTAAATGTGTTTTAGATTAAATATAAAGTTAATGAATATTCATGTTAATTGTGATTCTTAACCCCTCCCCCCGAAATATTGTAGTCCATGCACGAGCCGACGCAAAGAAGAATCATTCTGAGAAATACTCAATAATATTCAAGAAATGATATCACACCACCAAAAAGTTTTCCTCCTTCAAATAAGGTAGCTTCTTCCTCGGTGTTTATTGCTACAAATCAAATTCTTATCTACAGATCTGTTTTTGTACAAATGGCCTGATATTCTTGGTAAATCATTCATATTTATACATTGATTTCTTACTTACTTGTCCAGAAGTAATATCTGAAAAAACAAAGTTATTGTAAGAACTTCCCGCTTGTTGTTTAAAATCCATGTACATTTACTAAAAAACTTAATTATAAACAGCAAAAACACTACTTCAAAGCATTACTCACACTTGGACAAAAACTTTTTTAAAAATTTCAAAGATGAAACATACCTTAAAAAATTATGTTCCTTTTAATACGGAAAAAAACCCTGCTTCCTCTTTCGTAAAACTGCATTAAAATGAAGAGACTGCAGTTTTTACCCGCAACCTATGATGCGAGCGGAAGTATTAACTTATCTGATGTACTAAGTTTTTAAAAGTGTATTATTTTATTTTCTAACAGGGAATTATGCAACACTTGTTGTACTCATAAGATATAAAAGCCAATAATCGGTATGATAAATTTTATTTTTCGTAAAATAAAGAAAATAGAGTACACTGTACATGAGGAAATAATTTTTTATCAGCAATAGAAAATGTAAAGATTTAATTCTCATATATTTATAAGTTTATATAATGATGTATTTTTTTTCTTTACAATCTATGCATCTTCAACAATGAACTATCTTTAAATTAACTCAACAGAATCGATTTCTTGCATTAAAAGGAAAGTACAAAAATATAAGATTCAAGATTGAAGTAAATGTAAAAATAGTATTTGCTCCTAACTAGGAATGTGCTTGCAAGCACATCACACAGGCCTGTGGAAATCGGACAGGGAATGGGATGCCCCTCCCCTTACAATAATTTTGCCAACATGGTTGAGACCCCCCCCCCCCCCCGCCTGAAAATGCTTCCTACAAGCCTTTAAAAAAGAGGTTTAGTGGGAAATGTGAACATGACAGATGTCATATGAAGAAGTTGATGAGTTTTAGGATTAATGAGTTCTTTTCAGAAAGTCTCCACGAGTTCGATATGTCTGATGACGGCTTTAACTTTGCATATACTTCTTAAATAAGTACTTTTTAAAATCTGTTTATTCTAAATTTATCTCACAACCATTTGTCATTTAACTGATACTATATAAGGTTTTGTCTTTTCCCAAATCTAATAACTCCATTTTGATTGTAATGAATTTGTGAAAGCACATGTATTCTCTTCGAGTTTATTTCAATTTTACATTTCAATGATTTGAATTTTAATGTAAATTTTAAAAAAAAATATTGCTGAACTGAAATTCTTTCAGTATCATTTGATACTTTAATAAAATGCCTGATTACACACATTTATATTGCATTGAAGAAAATTGAAATATATAGACATTCTAAAAAAAAAAGCTGACCATAAGGATTGTGTAATAAAAGAGACTGACGAATATTTTCTGGTAATTCATACAGACTTGACACACATTTTTAACTTGAGTTTTGCCTGGTATTGTCAGATCTATTCTGGGATGTCGGGTATAGTCCGACGTCTCGGTTTCTGCAGACGTTGAGTAAGACCACGTGACTTGCGCTTCTCGAACTTGGTAGATTTTAATGCTGGTTTCGGCTCAAACACCTTCAAGGAGAAAAAAATGAATATTCTCTCTGACCAATCATTATTTGAGGAGAAGGAATTTTTTTATAAAGGATTAAATGCACAAAACAGAGATAAAATACATTATTCCGTGGTAAGATTACTGCACAGGAATGATATTCATTTTAGTACTATCCTAATGCACTTTACTAATGCCACTTAATAACACCTTAATGATACGCATGTAAGTGTTACATAGTTCCATGTGTCGTACCGGAAGATCGTAAATATCGTCTTCTTCATCATCTTCCTCGTCATCGGGTGTTGCAATTGATTGTGGTTTCTGATGCCTGTCTTGATGACTATTGTTTGGCTGTCCGTTGTCCATGCCAGTCATTTCCAAACCGTTCATTTTTTCATCGGAGCTAACATTATCTTCTGTTTTTGAAAAAAAATCAACAATGTCAAAATATTGTCAAAATGAAAGGTTTTTACCGGCAGAATTTTTAAAAATCTTTCACCTTGTATAAAATTGTCATCCTGCAGAGGGTCAACTCCAAAGAAATTCGTGACTAGTTCCGGAAACCGGAGATCAAGGACCCAGATCACAACACCAAGAATAATACATATAATACCTAAAAAAAATAATCAGTAACTGCAGTCATATCTTTGCTTTGCTTATTCTTAGAATTAGCTTTGCTTAGCGTTCACGGAGTTTATGCAAAGAAATTTGATACACAGTACATTAATTCGATTTAAACTAATTCGCACTGAATTCTCCGTGTGATTAGCAGTAACTAAACGTTTTATATGATCTCAAAAAAAAAAAAATAAATAAATAAAAGCTTTTGTACTGTGCAAACCTGTAAACAAATTCAGGTAGAAAGATGCTCCGAAATGGAACTCTAACTTGTGTTCAGCGCTGAAAGGTATAACGAGCTCAAAGGGATTTCTATTGGCAGCCCAGATAATGTTGGCTATAACCATTACTCCACCGGTCAACATGAGGAAATAAGCGCCATATTTCAAAAGAATGAAGAAGAGCACTATTGTCAAAACCCAAAGAGGAAGGGACAACCTAAAAACCAATGCAAATTCTTATTGTAGTAAAAACTGCTAAAGAATTAAGAAAAAAAAAGTATTGGCTGCTTGGGAACCAAAATACAGCTTTGCTTTTTTCGCATCATTTTAGGATTTATTTCTTTTACGGTTGGAAATTAATTAAAGTTGTCCCAGTAGCACCCTCTACTTACCACATCAGGATATGGGCGTACCACCCTGCTTGTCTGTAATGACGCCCCCATCTGACCCCCTCCCCGTCAAATATAAAGTACTCAGCAATCCAGATGATGGGAAAAGGCGTTCCTCGAAATTGACGGGCACGAAATTCTTGGTTAAAACGTCCAGCTACAAAGATGTTTAAATTGCAATATTTGCTGTGACAGGTAGAACAAAGATGATTGGGAAATAATGAGCATTAGATATTTTAAACACACTTAAATTTGAAATTACAGAAATTAGATAACAGAAAAAGTCATTTTAAACATTGGAGAGGAATTGTAGTGGTAAAGTTTTGCACATTTAACATTATCTTTCTGACTTCATTGTAAAAAGTAAAGATAACGGTGATGATTCTCATAAATCTAGTACACAAAACAATTCGTTTTGCTAAACACATTTACCGATAAATTTTCCTTAAAAACTTGCATTCTCCACTAAAATCTATAATTTCGTATCTGTATTGAAAACCATTGCAAAAACATTAAAAAAAAATATTGAAACCCCTCAAATGAAAAAGGTGAAAATAACGAATAGTGATCGATTTCAAAAGAATCTACAAACAATATAAATCTGTGAATAGAGTATAAAACATGGTCCCCCGGAAATTCTAGATGTGAGATCAGGTGCTTAGGAGGAGTAAGCATCCCCTCGCCGTGAACCCTGTGTATCGATCAGGTAGACGAACTACTCCGTAGTCGATAAAGAACTAACAATTTGCACTATGAATAAAATGGTTGCATACCTTAATTCCATATACCTACCAAATATCCCAAAACCTAATCTGCCCTGTTCCCATCTCCAATCAAAATGTTCATTGTAGTTTATGGTTTCATTAAAAGGACCTCGATTTTCTCCTTCAGCTGAATGAAAAACGCATATCTAATTAAGAATAACCCCCTAAAATGTAGTTGAAAATGGCATATGATACAAGATACTACATGTATTATAGTGAATACATACATGTATATGCTTTTAAAGCAAAGCATAAGTTTAATCTTCCGTGACACAGTGCATGCTGTTGTTTTGAAATTACCTTGAAGCACCTTTAAAAGTACTTTTACATCATTTTCTCATCTAGGAGAATGTTTTATTTAAATACAACACAGTGGATGTATATTAGATTCAAGTTTAAAGGCTGCTTGGTTCATTTACTACTAGTACCTTTGAGTGTTACATTGATCCCTCGGAGCCCCATGTGTACAGCGATATCTGCGGTTATCTCCCCTGCTGATCCTGCCTTATACTTGGTTCTTACGTTTTTGGCCTCGGCAACTTCCCACTCGTACCCAAAGTTTGTCACTGGAATTGTAAAGATTGTAAAGTTAGTCACTAGAATTGTAAAATTAGTCACAAGAATTGTAAAGTAAGTTACTAGCATTGTAAAGTTGGTCGCTAGAATTGTAAAGTTAGTCACTAGAATTGTAGTCACTAGAATTTTAAGTTACTCACTAGAATTGTAAAGTTACTCATTAGAATTGTAAAGTTTGTCACTAGCATTGTAAAGTTAATCACTAGAATTGTAAAGTTTGTCATTAGAATTGTAAAGTTAATCGCTAATATTGTAAAGTTAGTCACTAGAATTGTAAAGTTAATCACTAGTATTGTAAAGTTAGTCACTAGAATGGTGAAGTTATCACTAGAATTGTAAAGTTAGTCACTAGAAATGTCATTTATACATTTAATTTCCCTATCCAAAGTTAATTTCTTAGAATTTTTTGTAATTTTATTTACATTTACTACTATCATTTTACACATCAAGATATTTATACATCTTATACCCATTTATTCATTGCGAAATAAAGGACGTTAGACTATATATACTTACACATTATAACTCCACCAATGAATAATGTCACTGTTACACGTATGAACATGAAAATTCTCTAAAATTAGAAGAAAAAAAATAACCAATATCAAAAGATATTAAAAGATACACCAGTATGAACATGTAAAGAAAATTAACAAAAAATGTAAAGAAAAAAATAGTGCAAGATTCTAAATGCTATAAAAACTTTCATTATTACATTCAGTGAAAAGAACGGCGATCGGTCTCCTGTAAACAATACGAATCGTGAACAGGACAAAAAACATAGACCCCTGGAAACCCAAGATGTTGGATCAGGTGCCTAGGAGAAGTAAACAACCCCTATCGATCAGTCACACCCGCCGTAAGCCCTTTGTATTGATCAGGTAAACGGAGTAATTAGTAGTTTAAGAGAAATAAACACCATTTGCAAGTGATATTGTTGAATAATACTGCTTAAATAGGAGAAATTGACGATGAAAAAGCTAGAGTAATCAAGTTCGTCAAACAGTTTAGTTGTTAATTGGCCATTATAACGTCAATATAGTCAATAAAACATCCAAATATGAAACAGATGTGGTAAACTGTGGTGTTTTTTTTATTTCGAGTTCACTGGGATATATCGAGTCGACATATGAATGAAAATAACTATTGTTAACTGATAAAACAATGTGGAAATGAAGGCCATGCACAACAAAAGTCCCTTTTTTATCTTTTCATGTAGAAGTTCTTGAACAAATTCTTTTTCGTTAAAATATAAAAACGGGTTTGCTTACAGAGAAGCACAATAAGTGCCCATCGAAATTCTAACAGATTATTAGAAGACCTGGTCTCTTAAGTCTACAAGGTTATTGTCAATAGAACTTCAGCATCTTTTTTTAATATCAATTTTAGAGTACTTCTATGTAGAATTAGGATAACACAGTATCCTTGTAAACAAGATATGAAAAATTCCAAGTTAAATTTTTATTGAAGAAGCTGTTGTCTATGACATTTTAAAGTCTTTAATATCATTGTAAAAAGTGTGGAAAAGTCATACTGATGCTATTGATTTAGGGAGGGGGGGATTTTCTAAAAGGATGATGTGACATAACTGCTATCTGGGGCCCCTTTTTCTACGACGAATTATATTTAATCTACAACGAATTTGATAGTTTTCAAACATGAGTGAATAAATTCAACGCCTTTTGAATAGTTTAAATAGTTCCGACACATTTTTAATTATAAAGATTACTGCATTATCTATGATTTTTCAGACCCTATGATAGCAAAATTCGGCCTGGTTTGTGACAATATGTTCTTTCATGAAAAGAGAATAGGCGGGTCTTAGTACAATAGAGGGATATGCATGTCCGAGGAATCTACCTTATATGGCTATTGTTATTATTTCGCACATAGTCGCTTACCGAGAACAATTGTCCAATCCGATGACAGAACGACAAAACATGCTGGTTTACTACATGTTTACATTTTATCACAGGCACGTGGTTTAGGTCAATTTACACATTATCTCTACTACATTTCAATTTTTTAATGGTCAGCCAAGACTAGTTATACAAAATAATACGCATGGAACCTCAGTGTTTACCGTTTTTGGTCAAGAAATGCACATGAAACTTCTATTCACTGATTTTCGGCAATACGTGTAGACCTAGCGAATTGCCCATGAAACGCTTTACAAACTTTGAACTATGTATATTTATAAATCAATTGTTTGTAATGTGAGCTGGGAAATTGTAGATCCGTGTCTAATTTCTGACTCAAATGCATAAAAAAATTGTTTATCGGAAAGCAGGTAAAAAAAAACAACCTTTTTTCCAAGCATAAAATGTCCTTAGTATTTTTGTGGTACTCACTAGTAATGCAACTCATTTAGCTGATTGGTCAGTTAGAAAGTATCGCCAGTGCCTCGATTTGCATATGAATTTATTCTTACGTCAGAAAAAATAGTTTCTTCGATCTGGTCATAATGGGAAAGGCCAGCTAGATTTTAAATTTTTTTTAAAAACAACATGTGAGCGCAGTTAGGTACATTTTTCTCCTTACACATATAGGTAGATTTCAATAAAATACAGTGATCAGCCAAAGGAGAAAAATATACCTACTTGCGCTCGTATATTTTAAGGGGTTCAAAGAGTGGAGCGGGGCCAAAATTCAATAGGAATTGGATGTAAACATGGTACCCCTACTCAAAATAAAGACATATATCTTCCAAATTATGTTTCTATTTTCGGTAAAAGTAGTATTTTATGAGGGTAAACATGACAGTGATTAAGTACATGCAAAAATTAGAGTAAAATTTATATATTTAAATTTTTGTCAATTTACCGGGGGCCGTATGTCACATCATCCTTTCTAAAATTTTATGAGAATCAACATTTGATTTACACCATTTTTAAATGAAAATACATATCTTTGTATGTAAGAAACGATTTACTTAAAAGTGTTCTACTCCGTTGTGAAATCGTTTACAAATAACAATTTTGTTATTCCGAACAGCGCTGACGGTATATATGCTATTATGTGTTATGCTCAGAAGTTAAAAATGCAATTTTATGCAGGGTTGACTTGAAGACCCGGGATATCAAATAACAAGCAAAAGAAAATATTAAATTTTTACCTCTTTACCACGAATACCAGGAAGGATGGTGAAAAATGAAAAAGCTAATATCACAAAGGCATAAATAAGTCCAGACTCCAAAATATCCGCCATAAAAGGCGTCTTAGCAGACTCGTAATAGGTCGGGGCGCCATTGGACCGAAAGGCGTCAAAGATGCCAGGAGAAGACATTTAATTTGGCTTTTCAACAGCTAGCTATGTTCCGTTTAGTAGAAAATAAAACAATGAAGTTGGTGAAGATGCACAGAACAGTTAAGTATTTAACACAAACATGAACTCGAGGGGATAATTTCTACAAACCTTTCTCCACCTTCTTCCGCGTAATTTGTGTGTTTGCTTTTGATTATAAGTATAACTTAATGGAATACTTGAAAGGGGAATAAATGTACATTACCAACAGATAACTATTTGGAAACCCCAATTGAACGCGTCTTTGTTGTTTTAAACCAATAAAAAAGTACCTTTTTACGAACATATGGGGTTATTATTGCAATTCATTTCAAGTTACAGGCAGTGAATTCCTCTGTGGAAAAAAGAAAAAGAAAATCTATTTTGACTAAAAGAGCGGAACGGATAAGACGTTTTGCTTCTGTATACTTTTATTACTTGTGTTTTTCTTTTTCAATGTGTAAGTACATGCACCTAAAAACCATTGGAATTTCAACAACAAAAGTGTCTTGTAGCCTCACAGAAAATTTTGCGTGATATCATTAATGGTATACGGTAACGTACAAATTAACATCGTTAAGGTATCAAAGAAGCTACCATGTAACTGACAAAAAATTAAATTTTTGTTTAAGTGAAAACATGAATGTTTTAGTCTACATTGGTACACAGGTAAACGTCTGTATCTACGGGATAGTGGTAACGTTAGGATAGCTTCTTTTGCTATGCTTAGATTCGTCCATGAGGAGCATTTGACAAACATGAAATTACCAAATTTCATTTTACAGAAACACGCTGACATTATGCAATTATTGCTGCTGTTGATTTATCCACCTGAGGAGTACACTATACACCGAGCCCGAGAGACGAGGCGAATGTTGTACTTCGAGGCTGGTGAAATCAACGTATTGACTGAAACAAGTATTCATTTTCAAGGAAATGATCGGCGAGTGTAAACCTCTCACCTCTTTTTACATCTTTTTAACGTACTTTAACATTTCGCAAAGAAAAATTAAATTGCCCCAAAGTCTAGAATATCATGACCGAATTAATATTTCCCATAGCCAGAAACATAAATAACATTGCTATTTAAGCTATTTCCGCATGTATGAATTGATTTTTCTCGAAACAGTTGTTATAAAAATGTCGCTAGTACTACATGGTTCTCCCTTTGATTCCAGTCGCTGTCGCTAGAAAATTCAAGTACGTTTTAAAAGTTGTACATGTTCCTTAGACACTTTCGTTGGTTTTTTAGGGTGCTCGTGAATCAATGTCAGGGAACCAGTCAATAAACAAATTCTTGCGCACATTAGAGAAATTTATTTCTACAGCATGAAACATGCATATCACGTAGAAAACCTTTTTGAAAAAATCTCTACAGTTATCTAAACACAAAAATAGCATGAGGGAATTACCGGAATCCTTTTACATGTATTTAGCAAACAAAGATACTGTAGTCCGTCACGTAACGTGCATTTGCCGGATGCCCCAAATCGACTGAAACCGACCACAAAAATAGTAATACGAAATTAGTATATGAAACAAACTCGTTAAGCAAGCTTTGCTATTTTTCTTGATTGTTGAAGTCCTAACTAAGAGAGAAGCATGATTAAAATAACCAGTACCAGTTGTATTAATTATAATTTTTTTATCTATTTTTGGTGCCAAGTAGAAAAAAAATAAATGTTATGTTCACCTGGAAGTTGGGTGCAGGTGAAATATTAACCTTTTAATAACCAATTGTATTAATTTAAAGTTATTGATATATTTTTGTCCAGTGTAAAAAATGTACAAAAAAAATACTAGTAAATGTAATGTTCACCTGGAAGGTTGGATGAAGGTGAGCATAACTTTTCTTTAATAACGAATTGTATCAATTTGAAAGTTTTCTATCTATTTTAGTCCATTGTAGAAAAGATGAATGTTATGTTCACCTGGAAGATCTCGTGAAGGTAAACATGACTTGATATCTACAATGTTGGATCTCAGCCAATCAGAGTGCTAGTAATTATTCAATCATTTAATAAATTGTTTTTAAGACTTTCCCATATTAGTATAATTATACATGTAAAACATACTCCTTCCTGGTCTTAGTTAAACAGGACCTGTTCAAGTGAAATTACGAAATGTTTTATATACGTTTTAGTCATCAGCATGCACTAATCGTGCATTTAGTTATTCCAAAGCACTATTCATACAGCCTAATTAATTAATAGAGGGATATATCATTTGGCTGCTTGGTTGATTGAAAAGGAAAAACGATGAGGATAACGAACAGTGATCGATCTCAAAATTCTTTAATATTAACAGTACAAATTAATTAAAAGGACATAAAACCAACTCTAGATGTGGAATCTGGTGCCTCGGAGGAAGAGTAAACACCCCTCACGACCAGTCACACCTGCCATGAACCCTATGTATATTGATCATGTAGATCAGTAGTCAAATCCAGTGTAAAACAATAGTCTAACAATTGTTATGAGGCATATCAGTCAAAATACGAGCAAATGATAGATTAATCTATTTGCAAACAATGTCATTATAACGATCTTAGACTTTTTGAAATGCTGACTATATTCGAGGTTGTTGAAATACATGTAATATTAACTTATTTGACAGTAGCCTGCCCCGGTTTAAAAATTGATCGTACTCAGAGCATGCTCTTGCGCATGGAATAAGTTGGGAGACCTAAGAACCATATGAAATTGATAGCAGAATGTTACTAAATACATGTGTAAATAAGGAAAGTTGACGATGGAAAAGTTGAAATATTCTCGTTTGTCGTTTAGTTTAGTCGTTAGTTGGTTTTTATCGTCCATAGTCAGTTAAACACCCAAATATGAAACAGGTGTGTCAGACTCTGTGGGGTTTTTTTTCCAAGCCGCTTGGATTTATCGAGGATTTATCGAGTCGACAAATGAAAGAAAGTAGCTATTGTTAATTGAAAAAACGTCGTGGATATATCTAAATGACGAATTAAAGGCCACAGCAAGAGTTATTTTTGAATAAATTCTGCTTCATAGGAATTTCGGCTAATAAAGGAGCACAATTACTCCCCATCGAAATTCTACTTAAGAGTATTTGTGTGTAGAAAAGGAATGATTTTAACAAAATAATTTTGTAGATGACCAATCTCAAGATTCGAGACTTTCATAGATTCATAATTCCATTTTTATTGAAGAAGCAGTTTTCTATGGTATAAGAAAGCCTGGCTCCGATGCCATAAAACTTAGATGATAAAACTTAATCTCACTTTTGATCTCAGTCTCACTTTTCCACTATATATTCCTTTTGTAAAAGTGAGACTGAGATCAAAAGCTAGCTCATCTAAGTTTTATGGCCCCGGAGCCTGATCTTTAATATATCGTGAGGAATGGTTGTATAACGTGTTGAAAAATCATACTTTTTGATATTACTGACTTTGGAAAAATTTGTGTGATTTTAAATTTTCTATAGAAGTTCTTTGGACCTAGTTTTTGAGAATCCACATTAATTTGATGTACGCCACTTCTTGAATATGTTGTATCATATTATGAAGTTTAGGAATCCAATATATATATAGGTCGGGTAAATCGAGTTCACTTTTTTGACTTGAATGTTGAAAAAAAGACTGAAACGTGATTTTGAAGAATTTCATCGTTTGAATACCTTGAAAGTAAACTTGCCCTTTTCTTTTAATCATATTTGTCGTGAAAATTCCAGTATATTTTTTTCTCCTTAGACATACATGTATTTTGTTTAGATTTTAAAAATATATGTATGTCTAATCTTTTCTTTAAAAAAATATGTTTAAAGTGTTTACAATTATTACTTTCCTACAACTGCTGGTGATTTTCCTGTTGCAAAATAACCACTTAAACCTTGAACTCGCTATCCTCTGTCACACAATCTTTTCAGACAACACAATGTTCATCATTCTTACATTAATAATTTACCACAATAATTCCAGTGATCCTCGTGAAATATAGACCAAGTTGATCCATATCATCATAATGTCTAATTTTTGAAACAATGGTATTTTTACAAATCCATTCGTGTTGTCAAGCTCGGGAAAGTTATGAATATGCTAAAATTGTATCGATGTATGTTGCGTCCCATACAAGTGTATAGATTTGTAATGAATGGCCAACTAGATATACCTTCTTATACTGCAATCATTAAAACTACAATGACCACTTAGGGTCATTTATTTATTCTAAGAAGAATACAAAGACCCAATCCTCGACTTGACAGAAAAGACCGTGATGTTCCGATTGATAAAAACCAAGTATCCATGGAGTGGAGGGGCAGTGGTATTTGAAATAAAAGACCCAAGGGCCTTAACGGTCACCTGAGTATAATACAACAATTTAGAGGATCCATAAAGTATAAAATAAACTGATAGATGAAGCTTTGTTGCCCAAAAGCAAGAGATATAGGGGGACAGGGACCATGAAATTCACAATTTTGTTCCCCTTCACCCATAGATGCTATATGCCAAAATTGGTTATAATTGGTTTAGCGGTTTTGGAGAAGTTGAAAATGTTCAAAAGTTGACGCACAACGCACGACGGACGATGCACGACTACGGACAAAAACAGATAGCAATAGCTCACCCGGGTGACTCAGGTGACCTAATAACGGAACTAAGTCATTACTTCTACATGTATATTGTTTTTAGCGCAGTTCCTTAAACTTATTGATTGACTGTAATTCTATTATGAATATCAAATTTTTTCGTCCGACATAGTGAAATTTTGCACAAATCATGAAATGCCCTGCCCCTCCTTTACACTCGAAAAATATCAACAAAATTTTAAAAGATAAGGTTTATTTTAAAGAATCGGCAAGAGAAATCTTACAATCTATAATATATATAAAATATTTTTTACAGTAAATATATAAAATAAAATACAGTAAAAACTTTTCCAGCATTTTAGAATTCTTATATTGATCTCACTCTTTAAAGTTTATCGAATTTTTGGACAATTTAATCAGGAATTTAACGCTTCATGTTGGACGCACATTCGAACAAAACAATTACTATTTTCCATGAATTTCAACAGCATCTTAAGTGTGTTTAAAGCAACAGATTGCATATCGTAATTTTTATATTTTCAATTTTAAAAAACACTTTATACAAATAATTAGAAAATATAATATAAGAAAGTGATACACGGACTATCATTTACAATCAAAATGAATGAAATATACATTTACAGTCATATATAAAACAAATATATAAAATATATAAAACGTGATCATGAACATGTGTCATATGAAACGAGTTCGTTACACGGGAAGCCCTTCTGTAAATTCTCATGGAGTTCAAAATCTTTAATGGCGGTATCCCATGTTGATATGTACTTGATCTGGATTTCTAAAAATAGAGAAAAAATTCACTAACTTTGCTGGCAATAATGTTCAACGTTCTTTCATCCAGTAAGTAGGTTTCATATTTTTATTCGTTTTCAGTGTAAGTCATATATACAAATGTATTACAGAATTATAATTCTGAAGTTTATTCAACTTTTCTGTAATATAAACTCAGAATTAACACATTGAAATATTTTAATAAAAACACTCTTATAACTGTGGAGGAATACAGGACCCTTCAAGGGTAATTGATTAAAATTTTCAAAGACAAGAATAAAGAATATTTGATTATATACAGGTGGATATATAAGGATAGATCTTAGTAAAAGATATATATATATATATATATATATATATATATATATATATATATATATATATATATATATATATATATATATATATATATATATATATATATATATATGGGGGGGGTGTAGGATATTATATTAGTGTCAATACTAGTATAGTATATTCTGCTACTGTACTAAACATGGAAATATAGATGAATACATTTAATACTCATCTAAATATATAGAATTTACAAAAAGTGCACAGTAACAGGAAATCAGTAGGATGTGATTGGTACGAAAGGTCCGGGAAATTTAAAAGAGGCATGCTGTGTACCATCGTTACATGTACATGAAGAAGGAAACTGCAAATGCAGGGATGAAAGGAAATGAGAACAGTTTTAACTAGCATTACTAAATAGAACAGTATAAAATTGCTAGCATTCATGGTGCTACTTGACTAAAAAGGCGCAAGTTCATGAAATAATTTTGAAGTCATTTTCCATTCCAGAATTCTTTTTAATCAGATGATACTCATATATGTAGTTCAAATTTTTAATAATAATGAATTCTAGTGTTAAATTGATATAAAATTATTTTTTGATGTAATCATAATTTGCTAGAACATTTCTCCTTGATAAATGTACGATTCATTTCATAGTTTGAATAACAAGAAATATATTTTCCTGTCTTCATACAAATATACCAGATTTACCTTTTGTACCGAATTTCACAAAACTAATTCTGTTTGGTAGTAAAACCAAACTTTTAAAGTAATGCTTCTTTATTTTAGTATGTGAAGAAATGACTTCAAGGATGCACCAAAACACACCAAAATGGCCCATCTATGAAAAAAAATCTGACTTGAGATGGAGATTTCCCTCCTAGACCCTCCTTGCACCCCTCTTTTCAGAAACCTAGAAACGGTCATAAAAACACCTTAAACATTAGTGATTCTTAAACCCCTGTCACATTTCAAAAAACGACCAACGGCAAAAATAGTATTCTTCGGGCGAAAGTCGGCTGTTCATTGGCCGTTGTCTTGTCCGATTTTAACCTTTGTTTTTCGTCGGCCGACCAATTTTGTATCTGTAGGGCCATGTTATAGTTTTTTCTGCGTCGGTGACCGATTCCTTCAATTGAAGCAGTCGTTGAATAGTCTGTTGACCAACCTTCGATAATCGTCCGACCATCGGCAGACAGTTCGTTAAGTCGGTCGTCGGTCGGTCGACATTCAGGGATTGGGTTTTCGTAAATGTCCGCCGACGGTGAAAATCAAACTGCGGCTTAGCGAACGATGATCGGGCGACTGTTGGCCGACTTAAAATCATTCAATTTTTGAAAATTGTTCTTAGGAATTAATGTGACTGCTCCGCATCGCCCGATACTACTGTCGGCCGATCATGTTTTTCAGCCGATGATACGAGAAAAATTTGGTTGCCCGACCATCGGCTTAAATGTGACCTAGGCATTACTTACTCTTATCTATATTCAAATGCATATTAATTACACTACACTCTGTGACGATGCAAAAATGCTCCCCCTTCTCCATTACTGATTTAGTAGGAAAAAAGAATAAATATTGTTTAAGCAAGCATGCATTACGTAGCGGAAGAGTGGATATTGTTGTCAAAAACGCCGCTGAATTGCCTGGTATTGCTGTATAGGTCCTCCGGATCGTTGTCGTCTGGGACGGGAGGCGGCGGGCGACGTCGGGGTCTCTGCAGACGTTGCGTCAAACCACGTGATCTGCGCTTCTCAAACTTTGCTGCTTTTGGTGCTGGGGGAGGTTCGAATACCTTTAATCAAGAAAAAAGAAGAATAAAATAGAAAACAACAAATGTTATGAAAGTTACAAGACTGAAGTGCTTCACGAAGCTCTGACATATCAGCAATATTAATTACCGGGTACAAAAATTGTATATTGTGGATAAAAACTATTTTTCAAGTAGCTTGAAAAATGAAAATGTGGACAGCAATTAACTCCAGTTCTGACTATAATAAATTAATTAACCTCAACAGGTACAAAGGAGTGGTGTCCATATCAATACTTAAGTTATTATTATACATGTATTGACTGTGTTCTAGGGTAACAAGCGTTTTGTTGGATCCGCCAAGAACCTTTTTGCCCGAGAACACAGTCAATAAATGTATTGATGGCGAAATGTTCCTAATACAGCAAATGCTTTTATGTTTTATTAACAAATGACACACTAATACTACAACGTACTGGGGGTTCGTAAATTTCGTCATCATCGTCATCATCATCTTCAGCCGCCGCGGCTTCTGAGGTTCGTGGTGGACGATGGTTGACGTGAGGACTGCCATTTGGTTTTCCATTGTCCACAGGGGACATTTCCATGCCGTTCTTTTTCTCAATGGTATCAAAACTTTCACCTTCATCAAAAAGAAATCAACAACATAAATTGTGTAATACAAAAAAAAGAGATCAAAATTCACAGTGATATTCAAGGGATTTACGAACATTTATCGAACATCACCTTGTATAAAATTGTCATCCTGCAGAGGGTCAACTCCAAAGAAATTCGTGACTAGTTCCGGGAACCGGAGATCAAGGATCCAGATCACAACACCCAACACAATGCATAATAAACCTAGAAATTATTTATTTATACGTGCATTACATAAATCTATATTAAAAAAAAGCAGTAGTAAAAATCAAACTATAAAGAATATTTAAAGAAAACTAACCTGTAATCAAATTTAAATAAAAAGATGGTCCAAAATGGAATTCCAGCTTGTGTTCGGCACTGAAAGGAATTAAGAGTTCGTTGACATTTCTTATGGTGGCCCAGAGAATATTGGCAATCACCATGACACCGCCGGTCAACATTAGGAAATAGGCGCCATATTTCAAAAGAATGAAGAAGAGTACTATTGTCAAAATCCAGAGCGGAAGTGCCAACCTAAAAAAAAGGGGGGGGGCGTAATTAGTATGACGGTAGACAATGCTTATTTGGCGACAATTTTAGGTATTTTTTAACTAACAATCATGAATATTTGCAAAATATCAAACTAAAAGGAAGTTCTAAAGTGTGTTCTATATTTATTGTGGCGAAAAACAACTACTATAATTTTTTTTAAAGTGTAGTGTATACTTACCACATCATGATATGGGCGTACCATCCTGCTTGTCTGTAATGACGCCCCCATCTGATCCCCTCCCCATCAAATATAAAGTACTCAGCAATCCAGATAACGGGAAGGGGGGTACCCCGAAACTGAGCAGAGCGAAACTCTTGTTGAAAACGTCCAGCTAAAATGTGGTTTTAAACATTAATGGAGCAGGCTTTTTTATGCCTTATATATTTTCGGTATCACAGACTTGATACAACAAAAGGGAACGAATAACTGATGATAATCAAATAATTTTTACGTGTAGTCAAACTTTCACATCATTGTTTGAACATTAAAGTTTTTTAAACTGGCAATGTAACAATAAAAATATCTCTTCAATGTTCAAAGTACCACATCATTTATTTTTTTACGAACCAAATATCCCAAAACCAATTCTTCCCTGTTCCCATCTCCAGTCAAAGTGTTCGTTGTAATTAATGGTCTCATTAAAAGGACCTCGATTTTCTCCTTCAGCTGAAACCAGAATTTGAATACCATTAAAAACAACCAGACGGTGTTTTAAGTTACTAAAAATGTAACACTTTCTAATGACATAGCTTAAATATGTTAAATGTGATATACATCGAACCCATAATCGTTGGTTAACAAAACTGGGTGAGTTATTCTCATGTTAGCCAATATAACAACTGGCACAGCGTACAAAATTAAATCTTACATACGTGTCATTAAACCATAAAGACTAAATCACAGTGCTGCATACAGAATTTGTTTTATTAATAAAAAAAAATATAGCTGTTGTACACATTGATATGATAGTTCAAATGATGTTCAGGTGATTACCTTTGAGTGTTACATTGATCCCTCGGAGGCCCATGTATACAGCAATATCTGCGGTTATCTCCCCTGCTGATCCTGCTTTATACTTGGTTCTTACGTTTTTGGCCTCGGCAACTTCCCACTCGTACCCAAAGTTTGTCACTGGAATTGTAAAGATTGTAAAGTTAGTCACTAGCATTGTAAAGTTAGTCACTAGCATTGTAAAGTTAGTCACTAGAATTGTAAAGTTATTCTCTAGAATTGTAAAGTTTGTCACTATATAATTGTAAAGTTAGTCACTAGCATTGTAAAGTTAGTCACTAGCATTGTAAGGTTAGTTACTGGAATTGTAAAGTTAGTCACTGGCATTGTAAAGTTAGTTACTAGAACTGTAAAGTTAGTCTCTACAATTGTAATGTTAGTCACTAGCATTGTAAAGTTAGTCACTTCAATTGTAAAGTTAGTCACTAGCATTGTAAAGTTAGTCACTAGAATTGTAAAGTTAGTCTCTAGAATTGTAAAGTTTGTCACTATATAATTGTAAAGTTAGTCACTAGCATTGTAAGGTTAGTTATTAGAATTGTAAAGTTAGTCACTAGCATGTAAAGTTAGTTAATAGAACTGTAAAGTTAGTCTCTACAATTGTAAAGTTAGTCACTAGCATTGTAAGGTTAGTCACTACAATTGTAAAGTTAGTCACTAGAATTGTAAAGTTAGTCACTACAATTGTAAAGTTTGTCACTATATAATTGTAAAGTTAGTCACTAGCATTGTAAAGTTAGTCACTAGCATTGTAAAGTTAGTCACTACAGTTGTAAAGTTAGTCTCTAGAATTGTAAAGTTTGTCACTAAAATTTTAAAGTTAGTCACTAGAATTGTAAAATTTGTCATCAGAATTGTAAAGTTAATCACTTGCATTGTTAAGTTAGTCACTAGAATCGTAAAGTTAGTCACTAGAATTGTAAAGTTTGTCACTAGAATTGTAAAGTTATAATTAGTCACTTGAATTGTTAAGTTTATCATTAGAATTGTAAAATTTGACACAGAATTGTAAAGTTTGTGACTGTAAAGTTAGTCACTAGAATTCTTAAGTTTGTCACTAGAATTGTAATTTATACCTGAAGGACATACGCAACGTAGTTTTGAATTTTAATTTCCCCGCATAATTGAAGGATGTTTGTGCGATTTTTTGATGCCTGACAATGCTGTACACATTCTCTGAATCATTTATAAGTAGTACCAGCTAAAAACATTATTGTTGTTAATTTTTCTTTAAAAACACATAGATTTTAATCATTTGATATCTGTTCAAAACTCCCGGTAATGTATGTTGATTTTTTGTCTAAGGACCTCTGATGATAGTTTGATTTTAAACTAAGAATATCTTGGAAAATTATAAGTGGAAAGTCACGTTGTAGAGTGCATATATGTACATGTGCGTATGTCCTTAATATGCGTTTATTACATTGCTGTGGACATCATACTTACACATTATCACTCCACCAATAAATAATGTCACTGTCACACGTATGAACACGAAAATTCTCTGAAATTGAAAACGAAACCGATTGAAAATATTGAATATAGCTTAGCAGATGGATATTTTTGAAATCTATTTTTGAAATTAATAGTATACAATATTGAAAAATTATGAAAAAAAGTATTAAGCCATGTTCAATATACCCCGTTTATTAATTATCTATTTTTTATATGTGTCTACTGTATTAAAGTATCATTATCATGAAATTCAAGTTACAACAACAACAACAAACAAAACAAGACACCACCCAAGAAAAAAAACAAACAAACAATCAAAAGGTCATCAAAACTTAAAACCATGTATTATTATTTGAATAAGCTAGCCTTCATATCTCGAGATTCCAAAATCTTAGGTAAAACATGAATTTCGATACCTCTTTACCACGAATACCAGGTAGGATAATGAAGAATGAAAAAGCTAATATCACAAAGGCATAAATAAGTCCAGACTCCAAAATATCCGCCATAAAAGGCGTCTTGTCGGAATCGTAATAGGTCGGGGCGCCATTGGACCGCAAAGCGTCAAACAGGCCCGGAGAAGACATCTTGCCTAAATTTATCTGTTGCTGGGTTTTTTTTCTGAAAAGAAAATAAACAAACGTTGATTATGGTATACAAAAAATAAACATCATATTCAGATATTCGAAAGGGATGGGTGTTATTTTACACGCGCAAATCCAGGAGGGGGGGGGGGGAGGCGGTCCACATCAAGTCAGATTTGGTCGAAATTTGTTACAAAAAAAATCCTTGTCCAAACCTGAAAAAAACTTATTTCGAGTGGGGATGGGGAGGGTCACTTTTCCAGGTCTTTTTCATCATATACATGACTCTCTTTACAATTTGAGGAGGGCTCCGTCTTTCCTTGGGGGGGGGGGGGTCCAAGGTCACTTTAATTTTACTATATATAGAAAATTTAATAACTCTAAAAATTCCCAGGGGATGGGGGCACACCCCTCCACCCGACGTTCGTTTTCCCTCTACATTAGTAGATCCGCGCATGTTTTATGCAATATGTGTAATTTTAAACTTTTTCCTCTTCATTTCTTGGTTTGCTTTTGGTGATAAAGCTTAAAAGCTTAGTTTGCTTTGAGAGATACAACTTAAACTGTTGAAAAGAGAGGTATTATATACTTATATACTGTATAAACATTGATTAACAACTGGTTTTCGTGGAAATTATTTTATAGATATCTTTTAATCCTTTGTTCTTTTCAACCAGTGATGGAAGTTTCTAGGATTTGGGGGGGGGGGGTGGGGGGGTGGGGGGTGGCGATGGGATGCAGCGATTCCTTCGTTTTAGATTTTACCGTAGCGCACAAACTTGAAGGTCATATTTTTACTGTACAGTAAATAGACAACAGAATCTGTTTTGTAATTTTCAAGTACATTACACAGTTATACCAATCTGATATGAGTACTAATTAAACCAATTTGCTTAATTAAAAAGCAGAATATAATCATTCCTTGAAAGGGGAAGGTATGCATGTACTTGTAGTCTGGCGGCAAAAACCTATCGCTATGATAAGATCTCGCGTAGATTTTCATACTGTCCTGTTTTTAACCACATGTACTTATCTGAGGATGATATTCAACTTCTCCCTTGTCTCACAGGAAACTCTACTGATGTCATCATTACATGGTTAGGATAACGTCGGATATGGCTAAGTGTTAGACGAGGCTCAGATTTGATCGTTGTGTTCATGACTCAAACTTGTAGTCTTATATGTGAGAAATATTAAATACTATGATAGTCCCGTTGTAATGCTTTAAATCTTTTTTTTTTTTTGTTAATTCATTCACCTGAATGTTTATGCATTTTAACGTATTTAAAGCTTTTGAAATTATAACGGGGAATAAATATACAACGTACTTTGGTTAATAAAATCTATTAGCATTATTGAAAATTTATTTCATCTTTTTTATTTTTCTGTTTTATTTTAATTTTCTAAAATAAATGTAATTACTACAAATATACAAGGGAAACTTAACACTGTCAGTCACTAGTCTTTCATCGCAATATCGTATCATTCCTAAATCACTCAAATAATAGTGGTATTTAAATTTTCCAACATCTGGAGATAACATTTAACTTGTTAAAATTCACTTCCCCTTTCATTTTTTAGCAATAAATGTTAAAAGGTTAGTACTGTAAAATAAAGATTACTTCTTTCAAACTCCTGAAGCTATTTATTTATATAAATATTAGAGTTCCAATGACCATATAGCAAAGAAGAGGTTGTACTTAGTTACAGCGATTAGCTATATAGTAACGACGTTGTGTGATTCATGTACATCTGTACATGTTAGTGTGAAGCCTTAAAATTACAAACTATCTATTTTTGAAATCTTATTTATTTATAACTTTTTATCAGACAAATAGAGAATAGATGGCTTAAAGCAACTAATGTGAAAACAGACAACAAAATGTACAGTGTTTTAAAGATTGTAGAGATTTTGACTTCACGTTGCAGTTAAATTTAGTTTAAACATCCTTCCACAGGATAGACTACTTTCAAGCACTTATAAAGATACAAAAGATATTTCACCACTTTCTTCATAATTAGCAGGAAATTGATTAAAAAAAAACAACAAAAACCACAACAGTACATACCTTATACCAACATTCCTCTACACAGCGTTTTAAACTTCCCGTTTCAGACTGATAGGGTTTTCGTGTCACGTGATAAGGTTAAATTGGCAATACACCAAATACGGAAGTAGATATTTTGGTGAGACAAGTTGACTAAAGCCCTCCTCAGAGATCAGGATCATCAAATATAGCTTATCTACCGTGATTTTATAAAGCCCCTCGTATTGTTATAGCCATTTATTCGGAGGGGGGGGGGGCTCGTAAACTGCGTAAATAATTTCATTGTTTTAAAAAAAAAAAAAAAAACAACAGGAGACTTTAAAAAACGCGTAATTTGTGATTTGAAGAACTGTTTATAATATTTATTGATTCTTTGATCTTGTCGATGAATGGATTGAAGGATTTTATTGATCTAGTCCGCAAAATATAAAAAAAATAAATCCATAAATCCATCCAAAACAGATACTTGATTAAAATTTAATCTTGTAATATTTGTTAATCGGGATAATGGCCCTGTGAAAATCGATGAAGTAATTGTTTGTAACTTTGCAAAAACCTTGAACAGATATTTAAAATTCATTAATTTTTCACCGTTACTTTATCTCTTTCGTTTGGAGATCATTGATATAATGTCGACTCGTTGTTTTATTGTAATTTTCTGTTGAATTTGACTAAAACAGATTATGCCCCCTCCCCCATTTTCCCTTGGTCATCATTAAATGCGGGGAGGGGGAGGCAAAGCCATTTTCAGCCAAGGTAGTTTGCCCCAATGTTTGTCAAGTCACTCTATTAACACAGAGGGGCTTCTGGACCCTATGAATGACCCCTTCCCCCTTCTAGATCTGTAATATATAGATATGTGTCAGCATTGCATATGATTATTTATTAATTTATTTAATCTCTCTATCTAAAAAGGAGGTGTAAGCCCTCATATCTGGAATTCTTCGTTAGATCCGTCCATCGCATTTTTTCCCAAGACGCATTGTTAGGTGTGTTTTTTTTTTAATTGTCTTCCCAATCATCCCTCAAATTCATATTGAAATGCTATTTATTTGTGAGGGGAGGGGGAGGCAAACACCTTAGAAACATCAAGACTCGCCTCAGAGCAGTGGAAATTTAAGAGTGTGTGTAATCGATCATTCTATCGATTGCTACGCCATTACCCATCGGAGCAATATTACTTTGTTTACGCGCTGAAGCCATCTCGTTACAATTTGTTGCTGGAGAAATTGGAATCGGTTGTCATGGTAATATATTTTCGCGCATGATCAGCAAGCTGACAGCCATCACCGTCTGCACTCTTAAACACTGATGAGTCTGTGGCTTTTCTTCTAGATTACATCATTAAATGTTCATTATGAAATTCCAGTTCTTTGAGGATTAATGGTTCATACATACACTTCAATACCGGTAAGTATATGATCCTCCCCTTAGACACACCGTATAAATATCGATTGATCTTTTTAAAGAAATTGGCAGAATGCATGCGTTATCGTCTTCGTGTTGATTTGTTAATTATATCTATACTTCCAAAGGAAAATTATCGGGGGTGGATCTATAGGAACCAGCACAAGAAATAATACAAAGGTATAGTCCAAGAATTAACCAGCGTTATTGGAAATTCGAAATCTCAGAGCAATCAAGTTTTCTTATACATAGTAAGTAATTGCTATAATACGCGAACCCTATCCCATCCACCCCCACTATTTCTTCATGGTGATTGACAGGACGAAAAGAACACATATTCTTACATTGCTTAATTCATGACAAATATCCATGATTTTATTAGAGTGTGTGTATGCACTGGTTTGATTTCACGGTCAGTCATTTATGCATGAAAGAAGTTAATTAAAAAATTGGAGGGGGTGGTGTTGTACATGCACTACTGGATTTTGTATTCCATAGTATTACGTATAGTTATGTATAACTGATGTCTAAAGGAGGGTTACAAATTTCCTGTCAAACTGTCATTACGAGTTCTCAATTTTTGTTTTTTATATAGAAAAGAATATGTTTATTTTCCTGGCTTTTTTAGCGATTTGATATTTTACGTGCCAGGAAATATCAAATCGTTAAAAAAGCCAGGAAAACGTCAGATATTTCGGACTAACCTTAAACAAATAAGTAAAATGTTAGTGTTGAAAGCGAAATTTGAGCATTGTTTAATTTTTTTTTAATGTTGAGCATAAAATGGCGATAAATTAAGAAATAAGTGAGTTGAATTCCCGTGAATAATCTGCAATCGGACAATTAACGACACATATGCATACAGATATAACTGCATGTGTATCAGAAATATGAGGCAATGAAGGCTATATCACATAACTTATTCCTTAAGGATACTAAATTAATAATATATAAAGAGTTGCAAAATCAGGAAATTGTTCCAGAATCCATTCGAAATTAAGCTGTACATACTGTTATACTAGTATTTCATTATTCTGAAATCTATTTATAAATAAAAATATTATTTACAAAATTGAAACCCTTCCTTCATACATACATGTACCATCAAAATGTGTATTTCCATGGATAAATCTCGAAACCAAGTCTGTCTTATAAGGGATTAAATTAAATACATGAAAATAGAAGAAAGAAGTTATAACTATGATAACAATTAAGAGCAGAATAAATTAATGTAAACTCAGGCACGTACTTTTGGGGGAGGGTCCCTTTCTTTTGCTGTTCGTTTAGAATGAAAATGTTCATTGAAAGACCGGTTCCCCCTCTTTTGCGGTATTCAGATCCTTGCATGTTAAAATATTTTAATACCCCCTTTTTTCCTATAAAGGCTATTCGACTTTGGACAATTATCTCCATTAATGTCGACGATGCGTCATTTATTTTTCTAGCTGTCCTCCTCTCCCCCCCCCCTCCCCTTTCAAAACCTTGCTACGTGCCTGAAACTGAGTAGAATGAAACAGAGATGACTGCACCACTGACCGGCAGCAGGAAGCAGAATCCATCATGATCAATGTGGCTTTAACTTTACAAATTGGTCAGTGAGGAACAGTGCAACGACATACGCATAACCATAAAAATCAGATTTATTTTTTTCATTTTGAGTATGATATGTTCAAACTTAAGTGAAGACGCTATGTTTTTGTCTGTTTATCAGATATCTACGGAGTTTCAGGTCTTTATTTTCCTTTATATTGGTTAATTTCATAATTTCATATTGTCATTGAATTTAACGGGAACATTTATGTACACCTGTAGTCGTCAGAGAGTGAAAGTTGAAAAAAGGTGAGAGGACAAAAACTGAAATTAAAAGCATACGTTTTATCACTGCTTTCTTTTAAATATCTTCCTAATTCATGAGTTTCTGATCCACTCGCTCCATATTTATGTGGAGCGGAGTGGAACAGAAACCCTTGACTTGGGAAGATGTCTTTTAGAGTGCTCCAACTCCAAATCAACCACTGGTCGTTTTCAGTATGAATAGCAACAAACAATCGGCTAAATGTTAAAAATAAGCTAAGAATTAAAAGTTGAATGTTATCTAGTTTCATTAGAATAGCTGCAGAGTTGATATTACTTATAAAGAAATCCTTACTACAATACTTGGTCTTGATGAATGCAATGAATAAAATTAATTTGGCGTAGCGCAGCATCAATATACATAGTAATTCAATAGCACGATTTGGTTATAAAGAGAATCCTAGAAAATCGACCGTGCCTTGCTAAATACATGTTGAAGCCTTAATATAAGCGTACAATATCATCAATATTGACACAGTGCGTATACATTTCAGTGACCCATTGACCAGTGATGTAGCGAAGATGAGACTGCGAGAACCTGCCATATGTGTACTTACTATACTCACAGGGCTGGTACTTTGTTCTTACAGTGGTGAGTCGGCATCTTGTATTTTATATTCATTAAGAGTGTAAGGCGTGTTCTCGTTCTCTCGCCAATATCCATATCCTTTAGAATTTTCTATGTACACCATGTCCGTAGGAAGCAATTTTAGTTGGGGAGGTGGGGGGGGGGGGATTCCTTAATATGCAAATAAAATGTCGTCGTCAGGCGTTTTTTTATTGAGGGACCACAACTGTAAATTAACTTTTGTTTTTAATTTATTCCTTTTTTCTAGCAAATGCCATTGGATGTTTTGTTTGTACCTCACTCAACAGAGGAAACACAGGTTGTGAAGACACTTTCAATAATACAGGAAAATACTACAGATCCGAGTGTAAAGCCAGCCGAGACGGGCGAATGGGAATGTTTCCAGCTACACAGTGTATAAAGATGGTGGCAGAAGACAGTAAGTGAGGAAGATGTTTCTTTTATTTTAAAGCTCACCTGAACCAATTACTCAGGTGAGCATAATGGTCCATGGACCTTCACCTTGCTTCCATATTGTGAGACATAAATTTGTATGACTTAATTTCAGCTGATGCTGGTTTTTCTTTGATTGTGCGAGACTGTGTTGTGGACAATGGAGGTACAACTTCAGAAACAGAGATTGGGAGACAGAGCCACTGTGGCTGGATGAAGGTCATTAAGTACAATGGACGTCGCATGAGTGGCTGTATTCTAAGTTGTGGGCAAGATGGCTGTAACATGGCTAGTTGGAGCAGAAACATGTCAGTTGTTACTGTTATGCTGGTTTTCATAATAACCAAAACACTGTGCTAGTCTGGAGTAAAACATGTATATACATAAAATCAGGGGAAATTCATCAATATCATTGTAAGCCTCCATCCAATTTGTACTAAATGAATCCATCTCAACAAATATTAGATGATTCATTAAATTTTTTCCTGGACATAAAAATATGAATATTAGAAAAACACTTCTGGTATTAATGGTTTTGTTTTGGGAAATGATATCGATTCCTTAAATGAGGTATTTTGTATCCAATGAATGATTGCTATACCACTATAACTACTATATGTAAATATGGTTACACAATCTTCATAAAGTATTAATACTGTTTAATAAAATTGTAAAGAGGAGCTCATTGACTGGATTTATATCTGAGTATCAAAAACTTGCAGTTTTTAATATAGGTTTATGAAAAACTATTTTTCTGAACCTGTTTAAAGATCTTAAAGCAGATATGTGCCAAATAGTTTTGAAATGAATGTTTCAAATAGACCATTTATACTTTTAGAAAATGTTATTTTGTAACCAAAGTTATATGTTGGAGAAAAATCTTAATTAGTAATTATTAAATTTTTATGTACCTATATTAATAAATATGATTTTAAATTGTATTCATAATTTGATTACAAAACTGATTTTATTTATTTTCCTGCTCTGATATGACTATTTAATAGGACTATAATATTATTACGTAATATTTTTTTTACTATGTTATGTGCATCAATTTGCATGAACACTGTAAAAGTTGATATGTTCTAGATTGCCAGTGATCTTCAATTGCAGGAGTATTTGCCCCTCTTTGCATACATATTTTTGCAAAACAATGAATGAAAATGTTGCTTGTTCACTGTTTTTAGATATTGAACTGCAGCTTTAGGATTGTGTATATATATTGAATGTTCAAATGTAATTTTTGGATTTATTGTAATGTCAACATCATCTGTGTTATCTTGTCTAATTGTTTTGGTATTGAAGTTATCCTGATGTGTTTTAAGATCTTTTTGTATGAAAACATTATAAAAATGAGGAATATATATAAATGTTTTTTTTTAATTAATTTACCTGCATTTCTTGATTTTCAATACATCCAAATACAACAAGATACACTATTCATAACTTTAATTCGTATTTTTTTTTCCTATGAAATATAGAAATTGACATTATTGTGTGATGAGCAATGTGATAAATAAAAACATGATTTAAAACCTTTAAATCACTGAGTTAGATAAATATATATTTTCACACAATATAAAAAGCTGACAAGTGTGGCTCAAACCAATTCTGTGTAAAACTGGAAATTCATTGTCATTGATAATGTTTTCAACAAAACAACAAATAAACAAAGAAAATACAAGTGTAACTCGATTATGTTAAAAATTATCATTATATCAATACTTTTTTGGTGGTTCACATGCCACTGATGACAAATATGGAAATAAAATTCTCCACTTTTTTCCCAAAGAAATTGAACTTCAATAAATCACACAAAATGTTGTTCAGAAATTATTGTGCACAAATTTTAATTCAATCTATAAATCTACTATAAAAAAACCAATAAGAGATTATTCAACCCTTACTAGGTATTAGCACCAAACTAACCAAACTACATGTATTTCAGAACTTGAGATTATGTATAGAAAGAAGGCTTTGTCTGAAGCTGAATAATGCTTTTCCTGGGATGGAGTTCCTTTATCCTCTGATGCATAAAACAGAGAGTTCAGGTAAATATGGAGGAGTAAGTAGGGATTTTGGACTTCAGAATCAAAAGTGAGTCCTAAAGAGAGGAAGGAAAAAATATGTAAAGAATATGCTGTTTATTCAAATACCTGGACAAAATTCACCACTTTATATACTGATGACCTACTTATTAACAGTAAGTGATTCCTATTCAATGTTTTAGTTAAGCAAGTCAATAATGACCTACTTATTAACAGTAAGTGATTCCTATTCAATGTTTTAGTTAAGCAAGTCAATAAATTTACATACAGTGAAACTAAAATGATGAATGAAATATTAAAGCAGCGGATTCTAATAATTTTCATAGGTATTACATTCACTTGTATTCCTTAATTAGGAATACATGTACTTGATAACTAACCTTTCCACCATTTTGTTCCAAACGCTGCACCACTTCAGTAATACGATCCTTATATTTCTTGTCCATCATTCTCTTGGATACCTAAAATCAGACACAGGAAACAAAAACATTTTATCATGAACCTTGAACTTACACATCAAATGAAAATCTACATATATCATAAATACAGGTAAATATAACCTGCCTTTTTATTTTTAGCATACTGTAGACATACTTTTTTTCTATATGGGACTAATTAAAATTATCCAAGAAAATTTGTAGCCTCATACTTAAAATGCATATAAGAAATACAATGGCAATCCATGAATTCTGCATAATTTTATTCCTATGAATTAAACTGAAATTGTCAATCTGCTGAATTATGACCCTATGAGAAAGAAGTACATTTACAGTATTCAAAGTTAGGCTCAATTCAGGCAATTAAAAATTAAGGACTATCAGTGTTCAAGCATACCAAAGAAGACGTTTTCCAAAAGAAATGTACAAAATGTCTAGGATGGATAAAGTAATTAGGCTATAATGATAAAAAAAAATTGCTTCTTTCAATAAATGATACATTTTAAACAAAATTACAACTTTGAAGAAACATTTTTCAATGGTTAAAGTATTTTTGTCATGATGCATCTATGTTTTAGAAAACAACATATGGGAATGCTGAAAATGCCTACTGGTACTAATATTGTCTTGAGATGTTGATTAAGCTCTGGTCCCACAACATCACTCAACTGTACTAATGCATCAAGGCCTCCCTCAAACACTGAGTTTTCTTTGTGGCTCTACAAAATAAAGATTGAAAATTTATTTCAGTTTCAATTTTGGATTTATGCTAAAATAATTTAATGCAATAAATCTGAAATATAGTATTAGCCTATTGATAATACTAATCCTAAAGAATGTTACTGGTATATTGATATAATCACCACACTTCCTTTTAACTTATTTTTGAATTAAAAAAAACTTGTTTCCTTTTACTGAAATTTTACAAGGTAGGAACATATTATAAATGCATTCATGATTTTCCATACAGGCATTTATATAAGTAAAGGAATGTGTATTAAAGTGTTGATCACCAGTGCAGCTCTTATGGAAAAAGTGATTTTTGGCAAGACAGGCAGGACTTTCTGCTGAGCTCCATCCACCTCTAACATTTCCTGGAAGCCAACCCGAGACACAAATGTATAGGGATGTACAGTCTCCTTCAGGCCCTGTAACCATTAAAAAAATTCTGTAGTGTTATTTTGATCTCAGATATTCTCTATGCAAATACTAATCAAAATCAAATTCCTAATTTGATAATTTTTGTTGAGTCATGAAGCCATCACATTTTTTTTCTCAAACATGTATCACAATCATTATACCTATTTAAATGCTAAAAATAAACCAAATTCATGCAACTATTAAAATTGATTAAAAGTGATCAAATCATACATCAGCAAGAGTGACTAGAACTGGATCAAATGGAAGTTCATCAGGTGGAGTGGACCACTGTAACTTGTGTTTCACAGAACCATGGACCAATCTGTAATATAAATCCTTTTTTATTGTTTTCATGTGGAGATTAAACTTTTCAAGGCTCAATAAAAATCTTTACAGAACATCCCCATTTCCTTTTGAAACATTAACAGTTTTGGTCATTATGAGCTCTGCTGAACAGGACAATTAAGGTACAGTATCAAAGAGACCTCTCCTATAATAGACATATACATATAACTGTATAGTGTATGTGTTATTTAATATCAATTCAGGCATTATAAACTTGTGCACAAATAGTTATTGAGGTCATCTGCAATAACAGACCATGATAGCTGCAACTGGATCATTATCATTTTAATTGAAAAGTTCATTTACCTGCAAGGAAGACCCCCAGTCATATAAACAGATGCAAAAGCAGACTGATTTTTTGTGGTAGCTGCAAACTGAAAAAGTACAATAGATTACATGTGACGTGAAGACATAATAAACCAAATGTAACAGGCTTATTATGACGAAATCAGAAGTAAGTCCCTGTCAGGTTCGACATCTCCTTTTATTTGACCTTAATTCCTTTGGAATAAACAGATAAAAGTTTAACTTGGCATTACCATGAAAAACATCTGTAACCCCCATTCATGTTCTAGCTAGCAAAAAAAATCTGACCTGACATAATTCGTACTTAAAGCCCTGGACTGTTGGATTTACAAGTGCTTTCCAGTAACTCCTTTGATAAGCATTCTATAGTTACAATTTTCAAGGGGTGAATTTAAGGCTCAAATTGTAGTCATGGCATTGTTCTTATCACTTCCTTAACCAAGAGAGATATTAATTAATTTTTTTGCTGCATTAATAAGAGAATAATTGAACATACTCCTGGTTAAATACTAACTGGATTAACAGTCTTTGGATTAAGCTTATCAGATGGTCGTGATAGCTTTTGAGGTTTTGTATTCATTAAAGTTTCTGTCGAACTTTTCACTGATTTATGTTGGCCACTCTTTTTCCCTGCACTACCAGGTGTTGTCATGGATCTTGAAGATGCCATAACAAGTGTTTATGTGAAAAAAGTTCTTGTCGTTCACATTTCAGGCCATGTTTACACCGGAAGCAAGTTTCACATGGATCGGAAGTAAAATGATGTTTCTACGACAACTTAAATTAATACGCTACGTAGAAAAAAAACTTTCTAATAATAAGGACAGTGAAATTAATATCAATTAGATTTATTTTAATTTAACTTCTTTTGTAAAAAAAATGTAAACATCTGCAAGTTATAGACCAATTACTAGTACTTAACATGAGATAGTTTGCACTATTCTTTTTGCGTAATGGTGGAAATGTGTAATAAACAACATGGCGGGGAGTCGGTGCCCGACGATTTTTTGAAAACAAATAGAAGTTTATTTCTCGATTAAATTTGAAGGAAGAAGTAGAAGAAAAGATGGATACAAGCATAAGAACATTGCTTACCAAAGCACAGGCATTAATAGGTGCATATTATTTCATTTTCTTTTTTTAAATAAATTTCATGAATTTTGAGTTCGAATTTCCTCATATCCATTCCAAAAGATTTGAACTGAATCTTCTGATTTGTAAAAAAAAAAAAAATAATAATAATAATGACATTTGTAGTAATCGAACATGTACTTTAATTTACAGGGCAGGAAAACAATCAGCATTTACAACAGGCCTACCAGTTACTAAGAAATGTTGCTGAAAGCAAGCCAGCTGTTGATACGCCTGAATCTTTTGGTTCAGATTTATATGTCATATGTGCAGAGACTGCCTTCCAGGTGTGAATCATTATGAGAAAAGAATCAAATTCATAAATCTTTACAGTGCACTACCTACCATAAATCCCTTTTTTGCATATTAAAGCAGATAATCTTTACTTAAAGTTTGAAATTAATATACTTTTTTCAAACACAGTCATCCAATAATGAGAAAATGAATTTGGCATTTTTTCCTTTCTTTGTGCCCTTCTGAATATCAATAACAACAACAAAATAATAACTCAATCATCTTGCTGTATTTTGATTTTTTAATGACAAAGTTTAAAATTAAAAAAATCCAATTTTTCTGGAAGCATAAAATATAAATATAGATATATATTTTTCAATTAAGAATGGAATGCCAGATATGGCCAGGGAATGCCTTAAGATGTACTTCATGAAACCCCCACCGGCCAACCAGTTCTTCTGTAGAGCTTACTTATGCCAGGCTCAGCTCCTAGCTCCCAAAGAGGCCAACAATCCAGTAAGATTGTCCTTTTTCTCATTTAAATAATCACTTCTCTAATGATTCTCACTTCAGAATGACACAGGAAATTTTTGTTTTTCATGGAATTATATATTGCAACCTAAGGCCTGACAAAATGTTCCTCAAAGATATGTATTGTATACCTTGGTATTATATCAAAAATTATTCATAATTGTCATTCTCTTGTGTTTTCTAAATTGTTTTCAATATGTTTTAAAAAATAAGTACACCAAAAATTGTGACATTGGCAATTCAAAGGAATGCCCATAAGGATTATATAAGAAATAAATACATGTACTTAACACAGAATAACAATCTTTAACAGGAACAACTGGAAAAGGCAGTAGTGTACCTTGTAAAAGCAATATCATTTGCCAAGAAGAACCCAAGGTGAATAACTCATGATGGAAGTTTTTATTTTAAGAACTGCAATTGTAAATTTTATAATTCTGTGTACTGGTACCTGTACAGTACCTAAACAGTAGTAATTGTCAATAAGATTGTGAAGAATATTGATTTTTTTTCTTTGCAATTGAAAACTGTTAGATTTTAAATTATCAGACATGTAAAATTTTTCAAAGCAAAAAGAAGAAAAATAGATTTTACTTTACACAGTATCTAAATTTTTTTATTCAGATATCATTTCCTAGTGTACAATGCCTCTGTGATATACTGGCAGTTCTGTCGACCTTTTCTGAAGCCTAACTATCGTCAGTATCTAGCGCGCAGTCTGCACCAAGTGGTAAAGGCACTGGATGATATCGATGACAAAGATTTTGAATGGAGGGCACAGCTAATGATGTAAGATATTTTCTGAGATGTTCATTTTGAAATGTCCTTTATGTAATCTTTTGAAAATGAAATGTTGCTTTCAAGCCATGATGTCAAATACATGAAGTTCAAAAGTTTTTTTTATGAATTTCTCTTATATTGTTTTCATTGTTTAGAAAAATATCAATGCAATGATTTATTTATTGATATTTTGAAAAATGCCAAATAAGCAAATAAAATTTCCATTCTTGCAGTGCCCTGATGGAGTGCCATTTAGATGCTGGGAGAAAAACTGATGCCTCTAGTGTGGCAGGAGCTGCAGCCACATTTATTAAACAAAACGTACCTCATCTCTATAAACAAGTGTTTGGTCTCATTGTAAGTATATAAAAGTACTTTTGCTTTCTTTTTTTATTTTATTTGTCCCATTTATAGATTATGTTCGGCTGCAAAAAAAAAAAAAAAAAAATAACTTTGTGACAAATTTCATTGGGTTGGTTTTTAATAATTTTCTCTTGCAGGTAAGAAATCAACTGCTGGACTCATCAAAACTTCATAAAGATGTCAAAAATTCTCCTGAATTGTCTGTCTATTACAAAATTCTAAAACTCAAAGTGTATGTATGCAAATGAAATGATGATTTTCTTGTAAAATATACATTTGTGTAATGTTAAGAAAGTTACACAGATTTTATTTGAATATCTATATTTCCTGGTGTAGATCTTGTGACCTTAATGAACCCCGTGAGTTCTACAGTGAGATTCAATCCATTTTGAATCAGATGGGTGTCGCTCATACCAGTATTGTTCAGGTAGAAACGCCCACTGGGAAAGGTTCAAAGTCCAAATCCATCAGGACTCATTCCCCTGCAGGTCCCACTAAAATGGAAGAATTAGAGAAAGACAGGTATGATCATTGTTTAGTAACCCAGAAAAAATGTGAAAGAGAGCTATATTAACAGGAAATAGTTTTTACTTAAATGATGTAGTCAGGAAAATAATTGCCAAAAATGACACTTTCCTGTTAAAATTGATTGCAATTTAAATATTACCTTCCTTTAAAATAATTATTTAAAATATATTTGTGAAGATTTCTTTCTCCTGGAAATATGTGAGTTTTATTACTAATGACCCATTTATAAAAAAAAAAAAAAATTAACAATGTTCCGTCATTCAGACTTCAGAGTTTAATTTGTCTTTATGAAAAGCTTGTTTTTTAAGTTTCTCTTTTTTTCTCAATTATTTGTTCCGTGCACTTTTATTAGCTTTGCTCACTATGTTTATATTTTGATTTTCAAGGTTTTAATTTTTTCTTTTCAAGTATCAGTAGTTTCTATGTAATTAAAGAAAGTGTGCAACAACATATAAAATTTTTATTATAGCTGAATCAAAATATGAATGATTACATTTTTTGATAAGTTGTGCCAGTGAAAGATTACTATATATTAAGAAAATAATTTGATTAAAAATTATTTACTGAAAGAAAAAGTTTGGTTTTTGCATTTTTTGGAGTATGTCATTGATACCCACTGGTATATGTGACTATCCTGAAGCATTATGAATAGCAAATCATGTCACACTAAGAATAAGTTGGTCTGGATCATTTGAGATATTCATGTCCAAATCATAGGCTACCATTTCTTGAGTTAAAATTCTTATTTAAAAAAAAAAAAAAAAAAAAAAAACCCTGTTCTGTGACACTTATTTAGATGAAACTGAATTCTCAAAGTTAAGATTTGCCCGAAATATGTAACATGAATATATTCATATCTCTTAATCATCTGATACTGTTTTCCCCCTGAAGGGCCTCAAGCTCTGCTGGATCAGTCTTGTCAAACATTGACAAAGACCCAGGGTCCAGGGTGCCTCAGTGAGTATACCCACCTGTGTTAGTTCCCAGTACACAGTTTTACACTGTCTAGTGTGGACACCATCTTCAAAAACAAAGTATTTGGAAATAGAAATAAATCTCCCTTAAAAAAAAGAAAAAAATTACACATTTCAGAAATTTATGTAGTTTTGTACAGTTCAAAATAATTCAGCTGTTATCCTCAAGGTTTGCTTGTAACTTCCCTTTTATCCAAAAGTTTTTAGAAAAGATGTGAAGCTCCTTAAAATAACCTTTTTGTCAGAACTTTAAAATAAAATGCCACAATTGTTTACTCCAAAGTGTTTCAACCAAAATTTTATTACTAAGATATATATATTATGTGATTTTCAACCAATGCTGCCATTTTAACATGTTAACTTGCAAAGTCAGAATTAATAAACCTACCCAAAAATGTAAAATTTAGATAAAATGATATGTATCTGGCTACCTCTGTCATCTGTCTAATTTCAATTCACGTACATTAACAATGCGCCTTTACGTTCAACAGTTCAGAGTTAAGTCAACAAACATTAAGTGATCGAGAAAATTCAGAAGAGTCTGATGTGTAAGTTCTCTAGATGAACCAGTAGCTAGCATGTGATGTGTTTGAACCCTGTGTTCATAGCTGTGTGAACATGGTTGAATGCTGTGTTTATACCCTACTTGGGCACTAGGGATTGTTGAACTCCAACCAACAACGGCATGAATGAATATTTGATTATCTTGAGCATGGAATGGTAAAATTACTGTTACTGGATAATGACTAGTGCATGCTCAGTCAAAAATGTACCTTTTAAATACAATAAATCTACTACAGGTACTGTAGCATGATGTAAACAAGAACTGGCAGTAATTTAGTCAGTGATTATTGAGATCAAGACAAAATATACTGGACACACATGACACATATACTTTCTACTTTTTTTTCATTTCATTCACTTGGTCAGTAACTGATGCATTGAATCACAATGAACAAGTAGATTCTTAAAAATAATTGCACAATTTAAGTTATGATTTTTTCAAAGATTGAAATGAGTGGCTTAATTTTACCTTGGAAATTATGATTTTAGTAACACTTGGTGATCACATGTATTTGTTTTTATATACATTGTGCATATATGGCATTTTATGAATGCTTTCAAAAGCTGCACCAAGTTAAACATATTTTACATTAATATGTGAAAACCATTTTTTTAAATTTGAATTCATCAGTGCCATATTTTTGAAAAAAGTTTTCTCCCTTCCAAAGCTTTGGCTTCTGATGTGAATTTTAGATGCTGATTCTTACTCTACTATGAATATACTGTATCTAGGTATATAATACTTCAAGTAAGACATTTTAGTGTTGAATCATTTTACAGACAACATGATTTCTCGGAGAGACTTAATTCATCATAAAGATAATCATTTTGTGTTACTTTAGTGGAATAGATTATTGATAGTAAATTAGTTTTTAAACTTGCTGTACATCCATGTAGTTATATAGCCAGACTGTTTGATTAGGTACTAGGTTAGTTTTATAACCAATCATTATATGTAGCAGGTATCAATGATAACCAAAAGGTCAGTCTTTTTTTCCCTTCAAATCTATAATTAGATCAATACCAAGTCAAAAGACCAATTTTCATTTACTAAAGCATGTTAATGATTAATAAATTAGCTGAGCTTAGTTTTCTTTACAAATATAAGGAAGCACATGCATAGAAAACATTACAGCTATTTGCTCCAGCATTTATAGTTTAATTTGCTTTATGTACTAACAATTTTGTTATGATGACCTTTTCATCAGGAAAAGCCCCACCAAAGGAGCAGGGCGGAGAACCCCCACCCCCACCACTACCAAGAGACTGGCCACTGACAGTGCAGATAAGTGAGTGATTATATACCAATATGTGGAGTCACTGTTTACAAATATGTGGATATTTATGAAGGTTGCAAACAAAAAGATGATCTGATGGTGAAGTCTTTCTCTTCTTTAAATTTTGAGTTTGGAATGGATGACCTGATAATTTACTAGTCTACATTTTTAAAACTTGGTACTGGTAAATTGAGATAAGTACAGTAGATTTTATTAATCATAAAATTCATTGTCCCATTACTGAAACCTTGAAAAATAAGGATATGTTGTCTGTCACATGTGTGGTGTATCTGCATTATAGGTGAGTCATTCTGCATTGGTTTTTTAACTATGTAGGATAGTACTTTTGAATTACCGGTAAATGTCTCACTCAGATTCATACTGTACTTCCCAGTGGTGGGAAAAGAGTCCACATGTTTTATATCAGGCTTAAGGAAGATACTTACTTGCCGAATACCTGATCTTTGAAAGAGAAAACATATTTTCAAATTATACAGTTAGAAACATTGTTCTTCTCCTCTATATAGATGAGTTTGTATAACACCATGAATTTGTAAATGCAGCATGAATCTTATGAGCATGTTTTGCATGCCGACTTATTTGTTTTCATAAGCTTAATATGATTTCAGAATAGCATTGCCAGATGCAGAAAGGTTGGCAATACTCTTTTAGTGTTGAGTTGAATTGTGAGACTTTTTGTTCAATTTTGCCTGTGTTTATTGCATGCATGTTCTTTGACGAAGTTGTCTGTGAGAAAATTTAATTATACATAAAAGCATGAATAAAAAATGTGTGGATGATAAAATGTGTGAGTTGATTGTTTAATTAGGATATTGAATTTCTTTTAGATTTTTATTTTTTTTTTTTTTGCTGCTTTAAAGTACATGAGTTTATGCTTTTTCATTAAATAGAAGATAAATTATATGACACATATAGTAGAATGGACTTTCTTGAGTACACACAGCCTTAGAATCTATAGCAAACTTAGATTTGCACTTTTTTCATAGCAATTTTTATGCTGTTTTCCAGACACAACTATACTACTATTCTTATTGAAAATAAAATCACTAATCTGAATATGTATAGTATGACATCGGCCTGCATATGTAAAAGTAGTCATAAGCTAAATGTTTTGCTGTTTAATAAAATTAATTTTTTTTTATTCCAGACCATACCTTCTTGTGGAGTTGGCCAGGTTTTGTGTTGAGTTAGATTTCCCAGACTTGGCTCAAAACTGTGTGGATCATATGAAAACCTGTGTTGTTAAGGTGAACATCTTAGTTAGAGCTAAAAACTAGAGTTTAGCACTCATTTGATAGTCACCTCTTTCTCCACTTTTGAGAAGCTGTCCCCATTTTCTTCTCTGTGTCCATTTGTCTGCCTGTTTCCAAATTTAGTTCTCTTTCCTTCTCTTTAGTGGTTCTCAATAACTTTGTGATTATTTTTGTAGGACCCTAGTTTTTACCTGGAGTTGGAGTTTCTACAGTGTGAGCTGATGGTGAGAAGTCTTGGAGACAAACAGGAGACCTTCAATAAATCTGTGGTGGATGTATGTTCAATTGTTTTTATCAATCTCAACTTCCATTTTTGTGAAATTGCAGAAAAATGTAAAGCACTCAAACAAAATGTCTGTTGTTTACAGTTGAGAATACAGGCCATCAAGAGGTGTGAGGAGACAATCATGAATGCCATCAGACAGGGGGACCCCAATGTGATACAGGCGGGCTGTGTGACCCAGTGGAACCTCATCCTTCCCCTCCTACAACCAAACCTCCGTAAACATGTCAGGAAACCCCTAACCCTGCTAGCAGAGGCCCTAGAGGATATACAGAGGTAGGGCAAAATAATGTTGGGATGAAAAAGATCGAATAACATTCATTATTTAAGTCAAATGGATCTCTTGCTTCTTACTATTCATCTATGAGAATTTAACACCACCTGAAAATATGGAATTTTTATATTTTACTTAGTATTACTGTTTTTATGGCAATGTGCTGAGCAAGTTGTTGTAGCAATTTATTACCCATCTTCTTGGAACTTAAATATCAGGTAGTTAGATTTGATTTTCTCCTTTTCAGTTTGTTAATCAGCCTGAGATGTCAAATTCACACAGAACTATCCAAATGTGAGGAAGACCAGGAACAGATTCAGGTTGCCATGGAGCACCTCAGAAAGGTACACAGTAGGTCAACTGCTTCTATTTGTCTTAGAAATTTTCAGTTTTTATGGTTCATTATCTTATTTCTCTCCCTCCTCTTGTTCCTAGGCCTTGTCTCTGGATGATGGTGGTCTCTATAAAGAGAGACTGGAGGTCGCTCTGCACAGACTTGATCTACGATCTCAACTTTACAAGCAGCCAGAGAGAGCAGAAGACATAGCAGCCATGATCATTGAACAAGTAGGTTACTGTCATGAACAATTAGGTTACTGTCATGAACAAGTAGGTTACTGTCATGAACAAGAAGGTTACTGTATGAACAAGTAGGAGTAGATGTAGTTTACTGCAGTATGACAAGAAAGGCACTGAATAAATTTACGATGAATTTGTTTAGAAACCATAGAACTGTACAGTCAAAATAGTGAATTGCCTAATATAAAATATGGGTATATAAAGTGGGGCTATATTATGGGAGCCAGTTTTTAAGAAAATATGTAATGAAAACTTCATAAGAACAGTTGAGCTTCAATAATAAATTTGATATGCAAGCATCTCAGTGTAATTTGAATTCAAGTTCGTCTTGACTTTGAGTTGATGGCCACAATAAGGGGTTTGATTATCTAATAATAATTCTCAGGAAGAGAAAAGTACCTGAAGCAAGCATTGTGGCCTAAACATGTATTGTTGGATATTGATATAGGGATTAGAAAAAAAACCCAGAAATCTTGATATATGGTAAAATTAGCATGGTTCAATGAGTTTTGGAATTTTTTAGGCCAGGAAAGCGGACTCAGGAACAATGAGAATGAAAAGATCCCTTTTGGTGAAGGTGGGTGAGGCCTTGGCCCCTGATGCATTCCAGTTGGTATTGGACAGTGAGAGTGACACAAAAGGTAGGGGGAGATATAACACTGGTCTTATCTTTACACACTTGGTATTACCTTTGTATATCTGTGAAGTGTTTGCTGTTTCATTTTGCCTTATGTTAAAGCACAGTAAAATGATTTACATGTACTGACTATGTGTCAATTTTAAGAAATAGGTTTATGGTGTACTTTTACATGTAGTCAAACTTATGTATATTTTACTTATATATTAATTTTTTGTTGACACTGATATATCTTCATATTGCTCTTAAATGTAAAGATTTTTGTTAAACATTTTCAGATGTTCTATTATTATTGAGTAAGGGAATAAATTCAAAAATGCATGATTATGAGCCTTAAAACTATAATTGCAGCATGAAAATAATTCAATGAATTTGAAACAAAAATTATATTAGGATCCAATAACTTAATATACAATTACAGGTATCACAAGTCATATTAACTTTGTGTTCTTAATGCTAACTCTTAAAGCTTTTTTTAAAAAGGTTCTGAAAACAAAAAGCTATGTATTATATGTGCTTTCAAAGTAAAATGCTCATCTTTTCACGTATGTTTACTGTATGCAGGGAATTCTTCATCCCTTTAGCACTTCTAATCTTTGAACATATTGAAAATGAGCAAATTAACTGAGACAGTTACATCTCTTTTAACACAACTGTCTAAACAATATAAATTGGGCAAAATTGTTTGCAATTGTGACAGACCAAAAAGTACTATCAGGTAAAAATAACCCTGTATACAGTATTCAATATAACCAGCTTATTATGTTCCCCAAACGAAGTTTGGGAACATATTGTTTTTACTCTGTTTCTTATTATTATTATTATTATTAAGGTCTTCCATCTTCACGGAAGACCTTATAGTGATTCTACTGTTTCTTCTTATTATTAAGGTCTTCCGTTTCAGACGGAAGACCTTATAGTGATTCTACTGTTTCTTTTTATTATTATTTTTTTTTTCCCCTTTTCTTGTCGGAGCGTTTTCTCAGAGATGGCTGGACGGATTTTCTTGAAATTTTCAGGGATGATAGAGAATGAAAATACCCCTAGGCGTTTTTTTCATTTTTTCAAAATTCACTTCCGGTCGTCAGATATGTCCGATTTCCGTTTTTTTCAAAAATATTTTGTCCCAGTCATATCTCAGAAAAGGTAAGAGATTAAGACACCAAACCTATACGGTTAATAGATCTTGAGGAGTAGGCAAAACCATTTGGGTTAAGAGCGTCAGCCGTCACTTCCGGTCGTCACAGGAAGTGATCAAAGAAATCGAAATTTTCAACTTTTCTTTTTTGATTTTTTTCTTTCATTACATTGTTGCATCTTATTTGTAGATTCGAAATATGTTAGTCTTACCGGAACCAAAAACGTCAACTTCCGGCTATAAGTGAAAAACTGCATAATTTGAGTATTTTACTTTCCCATAAATATTTTTTATACATAATGTATTTGAACTGATTTTTGAATATGTTATCAAGACTGCAAATGTCTAGAGTAACGTCAAATATCTTTGTAAAATTCACTTCCGGTCGCGCGTTTAAATGTCCGCAAAATGAGAACTTGTCCGAGTGAGATCTCAGAAACGGTAAGAGATTTAGACACCAAACTGATAAGAGTATTAAACCTTGAGAAGTAGACAAAACAATTTGGCTTAAGAGCGTCAGTCGTCACTTCCGGTCGTCACAGGAAGTGATCAAAGAAATCGAAAATTTCAAATTTTCTCTTTTGAAATAAGACTTGCATCATATAATTGTATCTTTTTCACAGTTACGAGATGTCTTGGTTCCACCGGAAACAAAAAACGACAACTTTCGGTTTTAAGAGAAAAACTACATAATAGGGGTTTTGAATTTCCCCCAACATATCGCTTATAGATAGAGTTCTTTAAATGATTTTTATATATGTTATTGAGACTGCAGTTGTCTAGATTGACATGAAATATCTTAATAAAATTCACTTCCGGTCGCGTGTTTTCTTGTCCACAAAATGAAAAGTTATTTCAGCGAGATCTCGGAAACGGCATGAAAGTAAAACACCAAACTTGTAGGAGTAATAAAACTTGGTGAGAAGGCAAAACACATAGGGTTAAAAGCGTCAGCCGTCATTTCCGGTCATCACAGGAAGTGATCGAAGAAATCGAAAATTTCAACTTTTCTTTTTAAAATTAAAATTTTCATCACTTTATTGCTTCCCTTTCGCTGTTTTAAAATATGTTAAATTCCACCGGAAAAAAACTTTAAACTTCCGGTTTTAAAAGATAAACTACGTTATTTCGTGGTTTAGCTTTCTCATAAATATCACTTATAGATAAGTAATTGAAATGTTTTTTTTTTTTTTTTTTTTTTTTTTTTTTTTTACATATGCTGTAGATACTGCAAAAGTCAAGAGAAAATTCAGAGATTTTTATTCAGTTCACTTCCGGTCGTGTGTTTTCTTGTCCTCAAAATTAGAATTTGTTCTCACAATTGTTCGGCAACAGTAAAAGACTGAACTCTAAAACTTTCAGGACTTATAGTCAGTCATCAGTTCATTTGCTTGGTGTAAAAATCGTGTGTCGTCATTACTTCCGGTCGTGAGAGGAAACGAAGCAAAAAAGTATATTTTAAGTTATTTGGTTTCTACATAAGTTTTAGGCTAATACCGACGTTGGAAAAGACATGTTCATGCAAACAGGAAGTCGTATAACGGAAGACCTTCTCATTACTAGTAATGAGTTTCTAGTTATTATTCTTATTTTTTAGACAAATTTTGTCCAAGCAATATCTCGAGAACTATTCAGTGGTTTTTCATCATTCTTTCAGGGATAACGCGCCAGTTAATGGCATTGTTACATTTAAAAAAATTTTGAAAAAATTCGCTTCCGGTTCCAAGTTATGGACATTTTTCTGATTTTAAAATGAAATAGTTTCCGCGGGATATCTAAAGAACAACTAAAGATATGAACTGGAGACTTTTAGAGAATATAGAACATGACTTCTAGATGTGCAAATCGACCTTGATTTTCGTCATCAGTACTTCCGGTCGCTACCGGAAGCGAATTAAAAAAGTCGAATTTTTCAACTTTTCTGCTTTTCAATATTTTTCTATGATATTTGTAGGGTTAATAGAGACTCTTTTAAGAATGATAAATATTTAACTTGTTTTAAAATTGATAAATCCAAACTCTAGAGAATTTTTATTATTCTCTTTTTTTTTTTAGACAAAATCTTCTGCACACGAATTCTTGAGAACTATTCAATGAATTTCTTTGAAATTTTCAGAGATAAAAGATCTTGATATGAGTTTTATATGAAATTCAGTTTTTTGGTAAATTCGGTTCCAGTGCCGAGTTATGGACATTTTTTTGATTTTAAAATGAAACTTTGTGAGTGTTTTCAAGAATGACTAAAGATATGAACTGGAGACTTGTTAGAGATGATAGAACATGATTTTTAGATTGGAGAGGGGACCTTTTCATGCGTCGTCGTTACTTCCGGTCGCTACCTGAAGCGAATTTAAAAAATCGATTTTTTCTACTTCAATATTTTTCTGTAATATTTGTAGGGTTAAGAGAGCCTCTTTTCAAAATACTAAATATATAATTTGTTTTCGAAATGATAAATCCAAACTCTAGATATTCGTCATTTTCACTTTGAAGCGGGAGTCCAAATGGCGAAATGGTTAGCGCGTTGGATTTTCACTCTGACGACAAGAGTTAAATCTCCAGTGTGTCTGATTTTTTTTTATCACTTTTTAGCTTCAATTTACGTTTTCATTTTCAAAATCGGACGGAAGACCTCTCATTGCTCGCAATGAGTTTCTAGGTATGTTCCCCAAACGAAGTTTGGGAACATATTGTTTTTGCTCTGTTTCTTATTATTATTATTAAGGTCTTCCGACTTCTTTCGGAAGACCTTATTGTTTTCCGTCTGTTTTCTATTATTATTATTATTATTCTTTTTTCATAGTACGGCCGATATCTCAGCTGTGAGTGGACGGATTTCAAAGATTTTTTCAGGGAAGATGCATCATGTGAATATCTCCAGACGTGTTTTTCATTTTTTAAAAATTCACTTCCGTTCTCATTTTTTGGGGAAATTTGTATTTTTTAAATGGAATTTTGTCCCCTAATTTTCTCAAGAACGACTAAAGATATGAAAGTGAAACTCACAGACATGATAGAACATCACATGTAAATATGCTGATCGACCTTTATTTTTCGTCGTTCGTACTTCCGGTCGCGAACGAAAGTGAATTCAAAAAGTTCAATTTTTCAACTTTTTTGTTTTTCAACATTTCTCTATGAAATTCACTTGGTTAATAAAGAGTCTTATAAGAAGATTAAATATATAATTTGTTATAAGATTGATCAACCCATACTCTAGATATTAGTAATTTTCACTTCGAAGCGGTGGTCCTTGCTAGCGCAATGGTAAGCATGTTGGATTTCACGCGGGCGACGCCTGTTAAATCCTCAAAATGTCCGTACTAAATTACTTTTTCAGCTTAGATATAACATTTTATCTTCAAAATGATGTCTGGTATTTATTCAGTTCGAATCTTGTGATATTTGATCAATGTGACATTTTATTACATTGGAATATTAATACAGCTACAGATACCGAAAATACTACATAAAGTAAAACTGTTACCTTTTGTGAAAGGTGTTAACTTCTCTGATGACATGACATGGCTGATTCAAACTGGAGGAAATTTTGTTTTTGTTTACTCCCTTTTTTCAGTTAAAATGACATTTATTTTTCGTACTTTTCACCGACATTTTAAAGGTTTGTTTTTACGAACTTTATTGAAAAAACTTCTAATTATGATGGTTTATTCTTCAAAACCTGTAGTACTTGAATACATAAGAAAATTTGACATTAAGGTATGTTTCCAATGAAACATTGCAGCATATTTTTTCAGCGAAGAATCGGTCGGAAGACCACTTGTTGCCTTAGCAACAAGCACTCATCTAGTTATTAAGGTCTTCCGACTTCCTTCGGAAGACCTTATTGTTTTCCGTCTGTTTTC